TATGTAAACTCGTAAGATACAACATAACACTGAACTCACGAACATTTAGGACCTTCATAAAAGCAAAAATATTTATATCGATATATTTAATTAAATGACATCAGCAAAAAAAGGCTTGATAAATTACATGTAAATTTATTTTAAAGCTGCATTGAGGAATTTACTTCAATAATTCATGAAAAAATTACCTTATGTTTTAAGATTACTGTTTACAAGTCACTATTTCGGTTTCTTTTAGACATAAAATGTCCACAAAATCATAGAACAGCTTTATCCTACCAATGCAGACACCCTATAAGAGTTGGTGCCGTAAATTTTTGTGGTGTTATTAGACATATAACCAAAGTTTTTTCCCATTAGTTTCTTTAGGTTTAATATACACATAATGTGAGGACTTGAGGATCATTGTCATAAGGAAGTTGAAGCGTGACTGCCCGAAAGTGAATGTCTCGTGTAAGATAGTGCATGGCAAGATTTTAGATTTTTCTACTATGAAGAAACAGTAACAACCACAGTTTACCTCAATACAATTGGAGAACCGTTAACCACAGCAACCAATGATTCACAAGTCTAGGCTGTGTCATTTGTAACAAAATCTTTGAATCTTATCTAATCTGGCATAATTTGTTTTCCCATAAAAAAAAAAAAAAAAAAAAAAAAAAAAAAAAGATACTGCATTCCTCTTCAAACTAAAATTTCTTGTGAATTACTCTGGGTCAATAACAATTAAAAGTCAGCATGTAGTTTTTAATCTTTAAATAGCAATATTTTTTAGGCAAAAGGGATTTTTCTCTTACTTGCATGAATCAATATCAGTTTGTCTTTGGCTTTAAAAAAAAAAAAAAAAAATTTTTACACTAATAAGGATCTATTCAAAAAAAATTTAGAATTCCTGTCTGAAATTTGAATTTCTTTCCAGTTTCTGTATCAACAATAACCGATGTAAATTTAAATAAAATTTCATTTGCAGCCCTGTTAGCATGGTTGTAGAGAAGCTAGCTGCTATAATCTTTGCACAAGTTATACACATGGAAACAGCATAGGTGTTTGTAAGTGCATAGTGTCTCTGCAACGTTGGGGGAGTTAATTACTGTCAAGCTGAAAGTCCTCTCAAACAGCTGGTAAAATGGTAAAATGAAGTAAAACCCTTGGATCAATTTCCCATGGTGTTCTTCATTACAATAGGATACAACTATGCAAAAATCACTATATCTTATAAGGAGCTTAGTTGCCTTGGCAAATAAAAAATGCTTCATACCTTCAGGCAATAATGAGTTCATAGATCTGATTGGAATCGCTTACAAAGCAATAGGATAAGAAACAATATTTTAAAAAAATCTGAAAGGTTTTAGATTTTAACAGTTTCCCAAATGGATTTGTTATTTTCTGCACTCTCTCCTGCTAACACCCCCTTTTTTTTGTCTCATTTTCTTCCCACTTATGCCATACACAATTGAACAGCAAAATCAGAAAAATTTTAAAAGCAACATATGTTCATTGTTCCTGATGCAATGTTAACTGTTGGCAGGCATTTTTCTATTTTTTACAGTTTATCCTATAAATGCTCAGTTTTCTTACTAAGATGGCTTAAAATTTTTTTTTTTGTCTTTTTATTACAGTCAAAAGTCGTTAATCCGGACTCGTTGGGACTTCGGCGATTCCGGATTATCGATTTTTCCGGATTATAGATCATCAGTTTAAATCTGGTAAGATGGCATGCAGAAATTATAAAATTAAAAACATGAAACCGTAATTTATGAAATAAAGAACAATTATGATCTAAAGGGTATCAAAATTTACGAAAAGAAAAAGCTTAATATTTATTTGTTTACTTTATTAAACATTTCTTTCAGTGTAAGTTGTTTCGTTTCATGTGATAATACTTTCTCTTTAATTCTATTAAACAGACATAATTTCTTGTTTAGTTACAAAGTTCCGCTGTTCAAGTCCTATAATTGCTGTGTCGAGAATACCGACTAATTTGTCAATCGAAATTTTTTCGTTTTCAATAACCTCTGTGTCACTTTCTTCGCTATCGGAAGCGAATTATAATGACGAGGAATTTGATTTAAATCATATCAAAGACGGAGTACATCGAGATGAAATACTACATTTAGTACGGAATTATAAGCCAAATAAAATAAAAACATCTGCCCTGAAGATAAGGATAGTGCTGACAGATCAACTTCCAATTCATTGCGCACCGCGTCGTCCCCCCCCCCCGCAGAGCAGCGTGAAATTGATAAACATATTTCGGAATGATTAGATAATCAAAGAATATGCCTTTATCGATTTTTTGCAGCAATTCCACTTGTTTGATGGGCTTCGATACATACTTTCGCTTTGTAGATCCTTTACATATTAGTAAATATATATCGGAAATTCTATTTGACATAATCAAAAGTTCAAGCTTACTTTTATAAAATTGCTCTAACAGTCTACAAAAAATAAGAAGCCGGATCCAATTCGAAGATTAAGGAACAACGCAATCTGCAACATTAAATGAATTAGATAATTTTAGCTTAGCTTATACCGTCCTTTATACATTAAACACGCATGCGTAAACGTATTATGCGCATGCGTACATGTCTATGCGCATGCGTCACGCAATGCATGCGCAGAAAGTTTGTAACTTTAAGATCCGGATTATGGGTGTCCGAATTAACAACTTTTGACTGTATTAACCTTTTGTGTGTTAACTTTATTTATTAAATATTATGTTCTTTCACTTTTGCCACATAAAATTCAATTCAACTGCAAAACCACAATATATTTAGAAACAGCATATCTTTAGAATTTCCGAAACAGTCTCGCACGTTGGAGTGAAAAATGTTTTGCTTTTAAACAGTGTGACCACTTTTTGCTTTGAAATCATTAAGCTTGTTAATAAAAAATCATTAAAGTTTTACAAAATAAGAAATATAAAATTCAAAATTCAGGCTTCCAGAGGGACTTATTCAGGTGGAGGACAGCATTATTCAAAATTTGATGACTGTAGGTACCATCAATTTTTCACTTATTTGGCATATCCACCAGGATTAGTTGAAAAAATTCAGTCCAAGCACTCTATGAATGCAGAACATATTCTTGATATATGCATCACATTCAAGTTAAACTAACTTCCTTAACATCCAGCCAAATATAAACATAAAATGAGATCCTTTACAAGGAAAGTATTACCTTAACTTTAGTTCAGGTTAATTGATATTAAATATGTACATCAAAAAAATTATAATTGTCAAGATTTACTAATTACACAAATGTACATCAGCTGTTACAGCTGATATGACTGCACTACTAATTTTACATTGAGAAAATAATTATAACAACTTTTAAGATTTCAAGCACTTAATTATGCTCAATAACAAATTTTCATAGAAGCAAAATTATACACCCTTGCTAATCAGTATTAAATAGTATGATTTAAGTTGATCTTGCCATTGTTAAACTGTAAGTTCAGAGTTAAGGCAGACAGTTCCATTTACCTTCACCAAACATATTCTGGAAAATTTTATGGAATTTAATTAAATTATTCACACTAAATCTTCTGTTTCAACACAAATTACGATTTTGATAATTCAATACAACTGCGCTATAACATTAAAGATAGTGCTGAGCAGAATTCGAATTACTGACTCATGACAAAAACTGCAATTCTCATTCAAGACATTAACTCATATATTTATCTAATTACTGAAAACTGGTGCCAAGCAAACATGCATGAATTTTTAAAGGTGAATCACAATACTTGAATCTTATTAATAAGATCAATTGTGATAAAATCTTCCAATGCCATTGAGAAGTTTTTAATCTATCAAAGCACTTTAAATAACAATGAAAATAAAATTAAACTATTCACATACATAGTATTAGTATGTGGACAATATAATTATTGTACCATATAAAGATGTAAAATAAAATTAAATACTAAATGACTAAACTGATCAATTTTCATTAAAGTTCTACATTAGATAAAATATAATTTAAGAACAAGAATCATGTTAAAAATTACTAAGGGTAGGAATGGAATTTACACTATTATATTTCATTTACTAATGGGAAACATTTTCTTCAGTAAAGACTAAAAAACTCGGAGATTTGGTGATATACTGGAGGACTGGACGATATGATGAAAATCAGGAAATCTCCCCATAAAACCAGAAGAGTTAGCAGCTATGAAATATGAATGCCCAACTTTTCAGTAAACAATGTATATCTCTTCAAATATTCAAGATTACAAACTGGGATCTTATCGCAGACCTGACACTAACTCGCAGAAACCAAATACAGTACAAAGGGATTTTTCATCATTAGTTTAAATCTATTAAGATAAATGTTTAGACATGGCAACATTATGATTTCATTTATTATTTAGGTTAGACTAAAAAACTATCCTCCACAACCACAAATCACACACTTCTTTCTTTTTATTCAGTATTATTTCCCTCTGAGCACCATGACCAGCTTTATTCACTCATGAGATTTTTTGTTGATTGGTACATAGCTTATAATTTAAGATATTTTGCTTTCTCACTTACTTTAAATGCTTAATAAATGTAAATTTATGAAAATAGAGACTAAAATAAGTAAATATACAAATTTAGCTAATAAATGATGTTTAAATATGACAGATCCAAAACCCGTGCCACTCAGAGCAATATTTGCCATTCCTAGAATTTGTAGGGGCTGACATTTTATATTACTTTTCTCATCAAATTTGGGAGCTGGGGATTGATGGTCCACATATTAGATTTTGGACTATGTACTGTAATCTATGCTAATGCAAAAATGCAGCTGTGTATTTTCTGGCAATATCTGAAAATTCTCCTTGTGTGAGAGCTGACTGGATAACCTGGCCTCTACAACCCCACACCAACAGCAAAACTTTTTCTTATTATTCTATTATAATTACAGCAGATCTTGGCAATCAAACACATTAAAGCTTCTTTGCATCACCAAAAGTTACTTAATAATAAAATCTGCTTTTCAAAAGAGACACATTTTTGAAATTTCATACAGAATATTTTTATTTTCTAAATATTCATATTTTAACATATGTACCAAAGCAAGTCAAATGCTACATAAGAATAAATTATAATTATATGTAATAACAAAGAACAGTTAACAAGTTAATCCACTTTATGATGATTTCTTACATCTTCAAATTTTTACGTTGACATTGAGAAATAATAATTTTCACAATCATATTCTGCAAGCAGTTTTTAATTCATATGAAACACATTCATAATAATTATGAAATCAAAATATAGGCTATAGATTAACTGTTTAAATGCCTATTACAGCATATTTACCTGATTGCAAGCCAACCCTTTTTTACATTTTCAAAGTTAAAAAAAAAAAAAAAAAAAAAAATCCTTAGGTTAATCAAAGCATTCTCAATAATTAAGGTGGCACGCTTTATCGATATCCAGTGTTCTTGATAGCACAAAAGAATGAACAAAGAAACAAGTGATGATGAATCTGGGTCATTCGATAACAGCAGTTGAACAATTAATGCTTCATTTGAACTAAATTATCTTTAAAATTTATTCTTTAGATTTGACATATGATTTTTCATATTTTATAATTTAATTTTATTTCTTACTTTCCAGGGTCAGCTTACAAACAATATCAACTTATAACCAAAGAAATAAACAACTTCGCAATTTCAAAGGCAGAATTCTAAAAACACCATTTGACAAAATATTAAGTAGTTTAATACCCAAATGGAACACTTTGAATGGATATGGTACAATTGATAATGAATTACAAATCATAACAGTTAAAAATAGAATTAACATCATATAACATTAAAAATTTCTAAAAAGTTTGCAAATGATTTCTTTTGCATTCATAATTAATACTGAGCAAATACAAATGCTCAAATAAAGTCACTAAAACAAGGCCTGTACAGTTAAAATTCATTATTTTCTTAAAAAATAATTGTGAGTTAGAAATTAGTCTTTTAAAAAATGAAATTATTTTAAATAATCAAATACTTAAATGCATTTTTTTTTAATATTCAGAAGTGCCAAGTCATAAATTGTTCACAATCTATCTTTTCCTATTTCTTCTAAATCTTCTATCTCATTTGCATCCATTTTTTTAATTTTTCTTCCAAAATGAGATTCAATGTTTTTTAATACATTTAATGACCTATTTCCATCAACCATGTTTATGGCAAGTCCAGGTTTTCCAAAACGTCCAGTTCGCCCTATCCGATGAAGGTACGTTTCACAATCTGCATCTCCATGTTGATTCACAGGCAAATCAAAATTGATGACAACAGTAACTTGTTCAACATCAATACCACGGGCACATACATTTGTAGTAATTAAAACCTAAAAATAAATTATGAAAAAACATTCAGACAATTATATCATATTAATCGCAAAAATACTAATTTTATTGAAACCAATGATTTCGAAAATATTTCAGTATTCTCCCAATAGGCAATCTAACTGTGTAGTTACTTTTACAGATCAATACATAATGCCACTAAAATTTTTATTTTTACACATTTTTTTCTTTCACTATTTTATTCAAATTTATATAATCAGATTTACTATTATTTAATATTAATAATTTTTTAGGTTTTGCAAACTATTTCTTTTGCTGTGTTTTATGCTGTGTATAAGGAAACTTTCAGTGTGCGAATAAAAGGGTGAAATATCCCCCCCTAAATTAGATTAGCTGCTTTATATATTTCAATGAATTGCTCAATATTAATATAACTAAAAGTGAGCCCTTGAATGTTATGGATATATATTATATCAAGAATTTTGTGCAAATAGTGAATGAAACAGATGAGAGGTAAGACAAAATACATCCAATTTTGTACTGCTACATTTAGTTATTTCAAAACCTAATTATAAACAAATTGTTGTAAGCACAGTATTAAAAAAAAAAAAAAAAATAATAATGAATTTAAGAGAGATAAACACCGTTTCAACTCTTTGTAATGAAAACATGAAGTTTATTTGGGAGTAAATTGATAACAAAGTTTTGAAGACAACATTTAAAAACTCTTTGCAAGTTCAACAGAAAAATGACATGATACGAAAAATTTCAAGAAACAATACGCATTGCTTTTACAAACAAAATAGTCTGAAAAACAGGTGGCGCCATTTAGTATAAAACTGATTAGCTAACTAACAAAATTCGGTAGATCGCCAGTTGGGATAATACCAATATTTCAAAAAGTATGCTGAAGTAAGTATATGGCATATTGTGTTCCACATGTCTATTTGATTGCAGTACACAGCTGACCCTTTAGATGTTCTTCATATCTGGAGAAGATGGAGGCTCATGAAGGCTTGAATGTTGCAAACCAACAGTACACTGCACAACCCAGGCCTCCCATTGTCTGACAGCAGATTAAATAATTACCCATTCACACCACAAAGAATGTCGAACATGCAAAACTGGACTAGACTGATCACCAAATTTGACACATCCCAGACAGCATTTCCACGCTGACTTCAATGCGGGCTCCCGAATTAACAAGCCATAGGTCTTACCCCATTCTTACAGGTTGCCAGAACCCCAGGAGTTAGTCAAGAGGATTTCAGCCAATACAAACAATGCCAAAATTACATGATACATGTAGGCATACGTAAAAAGAAAATTCAAAACCAAATGTTGTGAATTATTAAAAAGAAATTTAAACAAGTAGAATTTTGAGAAATTAGCAAGTAAAGACTAGAATTAAAATTAAGGTCAATTAAAAGTAGAAAACCAAAGTAATTTAGAAACTCTTGCCTACAAAAAACTTCCCCGACACAAAATATGCATATAAATCAAAAACGAAATTAGATACTATTTATAAAAATACATAAATAAAACTAAAAGAATACTTAAAAGGCAAGTCAATAGTAAGTTTTAATTTAACTTACCAACTAGATTTGTATTTGGAGATGGAGAGCATGCCAACTAAAAAATGTTAAGTAGGGTTTTCTTCTAACTTTATAACTCGAGAGAGCTAATATAAGGTAGTGTTAGTTACTACTGTTAGATCTTTTTAAAAACCATTCTATAACTTTTAATAATTAAAATGTGTTACTGTTGCAAAATCTTTGTGTGAAGTATGAAAAAGCTAAAAAACTGCAAAATGCAACGTACGTATGTGAAAAAATGATGCAATTATTAAGGATTGAAAAAATGAATGTTTTTGAAATAAAGTATAAAAAAATTTTTGAAGTAAAATTATTTTAATTTGAAAATTTTTTAATGTTTTAATAAAGTAAAAAATAATGAAAGTCTTATCTTTTAAATGAATTTATTAAAACTTACTAAATATTGGCCAATAAGTAAGGAAAATTAGAAAGAGATAAAAAATCTTCACTCAATTCGGGCTATAATTGAGATTTTTTAAAAGAGTTGGCCCTTCATTAGTAAATGGAAAGAATCCAGTATTGATTATATACATTTTTACAAATATTTACAAGACAATACTTTAACTCTTCAAAATCCTCCATTACCCTCCAGTTAAGGTGTTTATCATACCATAAAGAGTCAAAAAATTAAAGAAAAGTTAATGCCTGCCTTTTTAATATATAAATTAATAATAACCTTAACATTGAATTGTTAACATAAATTGAAATCCTGTTGTTTATAAAACTATTTAAACAAGAATTGTTCGTGCTGTAAAGCAATCTGTTAAAGGTTACTGTAAAAAGCAAAATAAAAAATTTACGACGTTGTCAAGGTTACATTACAAAAGGTGAAAATTCCTGAGCGAAATATATGCATTGAGGCTTTGGTTATAGATACAATTTCTACTGCGATAATCTATTCACCTAAACACAGATGTCAAAAGGAAATTTAAAAAATACGAGCTGTCCAACTGGAATATGTTATGTGGCTTTCGAGTATAGCTATTGATAGGCGCCAATTATCTCTGGCAGATAAAAAATCCAGGGACAGTCAAAAATAACAAAATATAAATGCTTCCGTTTTCAAGTTAGCTGTTGCGAATGCAGAATAGGAAGATTTAAAGAAATTATGGGAACTTAAAGCAACTTGTAATAGTTACGAATTTTTGAAAATAGATAAAGAAATCATCAATAAATTTGAAAACAATTTAAAATTCGTTAATAACAGCTATGAAGCGAAATTAATGTGGAAGGACAGTAAGGAAGGGTTAGGGAGTAATTTCAAAATAGCAAAGAATTGTTTTTTCGAATTAAATTTTAAGCTTGCAAAAAATGATGATCTTCTTCAACAATATAAAGAAACTGTTACTGAACAAAAGGGAAATAAGGTAGTTGAATAATGTTCAGATAATGACACTGAGAACAGTTACTTCATGCTGCATAGGTCTGTTATGAGGGATGACAAATCCATCACTAAAGTGAGGATGGTCTTTGATGCTTCCACAAAGAAAAATCAGTTTAAATCTTTAAATGAATGTTTATAGCAAGGGCCCAATTTAAACCCAAACATTTCAGATATTATCATCAATTTTCGAAAACATGAAGTCACATTCTGTGTGGATCTATAGAAGGTTTTACTCCAATTGGCTTAACACCAGAAGGCTGAAATTTTTGTGGTTTGATGATATGGCAGTTGACTCGTTCAAAATTCTAAAATTTATGCGAGTACCATTCAGTGTTACTTGTAGCCCATTCAGTTTAGTTGCTACTATCAAATGCCATATTCAGAAATATAAGAAAGAACATTATAAAGTTTATGAAATGTTAGACACATCCCTGTATGTTGTTGATTTAATTTCCAGTTCAAACTCAGATGAAGAGGTGTTCTATTTATCTTTTACTGCCGCTAAAATTCTTAAAGATGCTGGGATGCATTTACAGAAATTTAATTCTGATTGTATGAAACTAAAAGAAAATATGTTATGCAGTGAACAAGAAAATTCTGGTCTCCATTTAAAAGTTTTAAGAATATTATGGAATACTGATTCTGATACCTTTCAACTGGATGCTCAGCCTCTGATAGTTAACCTAGAGAGTGTCAAATCTACAAAGCATTGCATTTTAAAGACTATGCTAAAGGTTTATGATCCCATCGGTTTCATATCTCCATTCACCATACGAATTAAAAGCTTATTGCAAGAAATTTGGAAAAGAGGTTTGGCCTGGAATGATGAATTACCCCTAAATTTGGAAAATGTATGGAAGGGTTGGTGCTCTAAAATGGAACATCTTAAGAGATTAGAGATACCTAGAAAATATTTCCAACAAGGAATGAATTTGAAGGATCAAGTACAAATTCACATTTTCTGTGATGCTAGTGTCCTAAGGCATTTGCTGCAGTAGCCTATTTTAGATAATTAAAAATAATGAAATTAAAGCAAGTTTCATCTGAGCAAAAAGTAGTGTCTCTAGTGAAACAAATTATGTTTAACTGATTAGAATTAATGTGTGCCATAATTGCCACAAAGATGTCTAAAACTGTCTAAAGATGGCACTAGACTTTCAAAATTCGAAGATCAAGTTTTGGACAGACTCAGCAATAACACTTCATTGGATAAAAGGATCTGCTATGAACTGGAAGCCCTTTGTTTTCAACAGAGTCAGAAAATTCAATCCATTACAGACCCTGAAAATTGGAATTATTGTAGCGGAAAAGAAAATCCAGCTGATTTAGTGATGCAAGGTGAAAAGCTGATAACACTTACAGAAAATGACATCTGGTGGCAAGGTCTTTGGTTATCATTTGAAGAACATTCATGGCCGTCAAAATCAGTAACTGTATTAAGCGAAGATGCGTTAATTGAAAGTTGAAACTTCAAATTACTCAGTTATGTTGCACTGCAACACCGGAAACAGTTTTAGATGGTGAGAAATTTAGCAGCCTCAAAAGACTTTATCGTATCACAGAATGGATTTTTGTTTCACTTTGTGCATAATTCAAATAAATAAATAATAGGGGTGACTCTTATAGACTGTCTAAAGTCTCCAGTCCATTGACAGCTTCAGGATTAATTGTATTGGTTTAACTGTACTCAAAAATCAACATTTAACCTTGAAATAGACCAATTAAAATGTGGAAAATCTATATGTAAGAAATCAAATTTGTATAACCTTAATCCCGAATTAGACGAAAATGGATTGCTTGTGCTGCAGTTCTCTGAATTCCAAAAACAAAAAACAAAAAAACACCCATGGGTACTTCCAGACAAATCAAAATTTGTTAAGCTGTTGATTATGGATACACAGAGATTATATCATTTTGGAGTAGCTACCACATTATCACATATTCGAGAGAAATATTATCATCAAAGGAAGATGCAAGAAATCTGTTCTAAAAACTTACATAATTTGTAAAAAATTTAATGCTACTCTATATTTAATTTAACGTTTAAAATTTAAAAATATTGATAATACTTAATATCAGAATATATAGCTAGGGTCTTTACTGATTATAAGGGGAAGTATAGCCCACTACCAGCCCATTTTTTTTTTTAGTAAAAAAAAAACAACTAAATCATGCTCACATGCCTGTAAGAAGTGAATCTGAATCCAAAAAAAAAAAAAAAAAAAAAAAAAAAAAAAAAAAAAAACAAAAAAAAAAAAAAAAAAAAAAAAAAAAAAAAAAAAAAAAAAAAACAAAAAAAAAAAAGATTTGCGGTGCACCCTCTCTTTTTATACATTTTAAATACAAAACCTTTTTTAAAAATATTTTTAAAATATAAGGAATATTTTCCACAAATATCCAACCTATCTCAGAAAGAACACCTTTTAATCTCCACCAAAACTGAGACACTCATCTCCAAAGTTAAATAAAGAGTCACTTGAAACCTCTTCTAAATCAGCATCTGAATCCTCATACAACAAAATGTCTTTGTACCATCCAGTTCATTACTAATGCCACACTTCTTAAAATGATTTAACCACTGACTATGTTTGTACAGCCTCTCATGAAATTTTGACCCATTCACAAATGATATATCGACGTATAAGATGGAGTATTGGCGTATATACGATGCATCCCATTTTTCAGACCTATTTTCAAAGGGAAAAAGTGCATCTTAGATTCCGGAAAATTCAGTAAATATCGACAGCAAGCCATTAAACCACTTTTGAAAACGCTGGAAGAAAGAATACCTGTTAGAACTCCGTTCTGCACATAGAGCCACTTAATCAGAATCCTCATCACTTAAAGTTGGTGACAAAGTGCTGATTTATTACGAAAGGTTACCGAAGCATCTTTGGAAGTGCGGATGTATTAAAAAGCTGTGTTTAGGACATGATTCAAAAGTTAAATCCTGTGTGCTTCAAACACTAACAGGAACTATAAAGAAACCCATTCAATTACTATATAAATTTGAACTGGACTAAAATTTAAATAGACAGTCCTAAACATTATTTGCATGTTTTTCATTTATTTGTATAATTCATTTATTATTTTTATTATTCTAGATTCCAGCCTTATATTGTATTTTGAATTTGAATATTGTTTGCCTACCGTATGCAAGTATAATTTAGTATATTTTATTTTTATCCACGGATTTGGAATGCTTACTCTGAAATACCATTAATATAGTTTGAATACCTAACCATTAATATAGTTTTGAATATTGTTTGCCTACCGTATGCAAGTATAATTTAGTATATTTTATTTTTATCCACGGATTTGGAATGCTTACTCTGAAATACCATTAATATAGTTTTGTACTTTGAATTAATTATTTTATTTTAATGATGATGAACAATAGTAATTGTTCATACAAGGGCAGTGTGTTGTGACTGCCAATTTGACCGTTAGAGTGCATAATTTGATTTTGTATACTTTTGAGACAACCTTGTTGTACTCTGTCCTTAGAGAATTGTTACAAGAACCGACCGAGTCAGTATTAATGATTTTGAACTCTCGTTTTGAGAGTAATTTTGAATAGCTAACATGTAAATAAATTTTATACATAGTTTTAGATCGTGTGTTAATTTATTCAGTGAAGTGACTTTATTGAACCGTATTTTAAGCAGTAAGAATTACCAAACTAACCTACTTGGAAGTGCAAAATGGTACTTCACAGATGATATGAATCAATGATAATAGCCGTACCTACCAAATGACACAGAAGGAACTTATCATTGGATCCGCTGTCATACATAAAGTTATTCATGAAGAATTGCATATGAAAAACTAGTTTACCATCGAGTTCCACATAATTTAACTAAGCACCAAAAATGAGGAGCGTGTCAGAATCAGTAAAGAAAGCTTTAAATTACTTACAGATGGTGGCCACCACATTTCTAAAATCGTAACTGGTGATGAAACGCACATATTTTCTGATGTTCCGATACGTCAAGAAAATAAAGTATAGGTCTTTGAACATGATCCCATGCCCACAATGATAAAAAGACAACATGCCATGAAAAAAGTAATGTACGCCATTTTCTTCAGAACTACAGGTGTGGTCAAAGCCATCAAAATGAAAAAACAGAAGACAGTCACAGCTAACTGGTAAGCTGCCAAGTGTCTTCCAGAAATGCTTCAAGAAGTGAATGCTAGAGGACTCGTGCTCCAGCACAAAAATGAGTTTTCTCATTCAGCAAGATTGAGTTTCTTGAACAAAAACATATAAAAGTAATAGAACATCAATATTCCCCCGTTCTAGCTATGTGTGACTTTTAGCTACTTTTTAATCTAAAAAAGAACTATTGTGGACATCATTTTCATTTCGAAGATGAGATTTATGAGGCTATAAATGTATTTTTTTTTCATTGATTCCTAGAAATGAAAGGATTAAGACATTTAATCTTTGGAAAATTCTCCTACAGAAATTCACTGATGCTGGAGATTACTTTGAACATTCCTAAAATTTTGTAGCATACATTTAAAAACCTATGTGTATCTAAAAAATTTCAGAGTGGATCTTGTATACGGGTTTAAAATTTAGATACTTTTTTAAGAGAAAATATACTTTTGGCTTATATTCAGAAATATAAGGTATAGATCTAGAACCAATCTTTCTAAAATGATGACCACATAATGTTTTTTTCTGACATAATGCACATGTACAGTAATCTAACAGAAATAAAAATACATAAATATGTTTTTTTTTTTTTTTTTTTTTTTTTTTTTTTTTTTTTTTTTTTTTTTTTTTTTTTTTCATAAATGTGATAGTGATGAAAAAGTGATAAATTTCTGATTATCACCTTTCCTCCTGTAAAACTGCTGTGTTTCTGCTACAGATTTGGATATATGCATGTTACCTTTAAAAGAACAGTATCCACTATATAAAATAAAAACACCAGTCATACAGATTTTAGTTGTTTTCCACTTCTAAAATTTCTTTGTTTCTCATAAAACATAAATTACAGGGGGAAAAAATGGCATAATAATTTTTCGCTAATGCACAATCTTTTATTATTTTAATGACACCTTAATTCTCAAATAAAAGGCAAATTTGTAAAATTAAAGTTAGGCAGTAAGGGAACCTTAGTTTGATGTAGATTTTGAATAAAGATTCCAAGCATAATCAGATACAGCTCCTTCTTCATTAGAAACAAAAGAAACATTTTTCCTAACACAATTTTATGGCTGGAAGTGAAGCACAGAGATGTTAGACAGAACACAAGAAAATGGTTTTGGAAGTCATGTCAATCAAAACATGGATTCCTTCTGCGATAAATTAATTTAGAAATCCAAAGACAGCAGTCATGCACTTTAAACACATACCAGTTAACTGCAATAGATGAACATCACAACAGATTTACCTTACAGAAGAGTATTAGATTGAAAAATAGGAGAGTATTAGATTACAATATATATATATATATAATATATATATACCAGCTTTTGTGAAATTAAAATATTTAATGTCAACGGATATCATGCAGATTATGCAGAAAGTTTGAGGACTCTAGAAACCAAAGAAAATTTTTTGCTTACATCGAAAATTCATTCAAATACAAGCACAGCTGTAGCATGCAGCATGGTTGTAGGCCAAAGCACAGTATTGGAATTTTACATGTGGAAAGTCACATCCTTGTCATTTACATAACATTCAAAAATAAGGGTTTTCCACATCATATTAAATTCACAAGCTGGTTTATGCTACAATGCAGCCAGATTTTCCAGCATAAAGTACCTTTTTCAAATGGACTCACAAAATGGTATGTTCATATTTGGGCAAATAGGAATCCTCATACTACAAAACTACATGCTGACAAGCACATAAACTAGTGGTAAAAGCATTATAATCTGTGTCTTATGGTAGCTCTAATGGCACTTTAAACTAATTTGGTGTCCATCCTTGACAATCAAGTACATTCATGCAAGCTGACAATTATCTATGTAATCTTTCCACAAGATAACACAGCCACAATCGAAGATATGATTTTTGCCATCCCATGTCTCCTAAAATGCTACTGGTATAGCTGCATTGGCTCTGGCCTTGAATACAGCATGTCATACAATCAGAATTGCTTTCAAATAGTCTCACTGCAAGAACACTACTTCCAGGTAAGTCCTCACACTAAGTGTGAAAACTTTTGAGATTACTACAAGTTCAATAACCGGATTCTCTAAAAAAACACCAAATGTCATGTTGCACAAAATGTGAGCAATTTTCACACTGCCAAAGATATCTGGAGAATACATCACTCCAGACACTTTATCAGACATTCAATATCTGAGTCACTTCCACAGCATCTGCCATTCATGCTGCCAGAGGCATTTACTTTGGACATTACTGGGTGGTCTTAACTACATAAATTACAATATTGAATCAAGTTATCATATATTTTTTGTCCATTTATATTTTGTGATTAAAATTAACTTTAAAAAATTTCTATCACAATAACTTGCAAATATTTTTAATGGGAAATATGACAAAAATCCAAGAAATGACTAACCATACACAGAATAATTAACATATATATAAATAATTCATTTCTCTTTTTCTTTACATTGAGAAATTTCAAAAATTTAGAAAATTACTCATTTGAATGATGCGAATATTCATACTATGTTTGATTAAAGGTAAATTAATATTTTTATTCTTTGAAAAGCAAAAACTGCTTTCATAAATAAATTTTACTTTTATAATTATAGAGCATCTTACCAAGAATTGTTACTTACTTTTTTCTTCTTCTAAAATCTATTGAGAATGGCTATTGATTCAACTATATTCAACTAACCAAGATGCAGTCTTCCTGGTATGGCAAAATATAATATAATAGCCTGTCCTATTGACACAGTACCATATATGTTACACAAAGCTTGAAATTTCTCTTCTTTATCTCTGCACACTATGTAATACTGATATATATTATCCAAACTGTCTTCTTCCCTTTTCAGTTTAATTATAATAGGATCAGAAACAATCAATTCTGCAAATTGCATGATTTCTTCAGAATAAGTAGCTGAGAACAGCATCATCTGACAATCTTTCGGTAGCTGCTTATGGATGCGAATAGACTGGTCTTGATATCCTTGAGTCGAGATCATAACATCTGCTTCATCTAAAACAAATACTTTTATTTTCCTGAGATCAAAACACTTATAGCGCATTGCCCAATCATAAACTTTACCAGGAGTTCCAATCATAAACTGAGCAGTAATTTTTTCTCCTCTTTGCAAAACCTCACCTCTAACAGCAAAACAAAATTCAATGTTAGGACAAAATTTTGCCATTTGTTTTGCCACTTTTCCTGTCTGCATGGCTAACTCATATGTTGGGGACAAAATAAGCATGTGAGGATATTTCAAATTTGTGTCCACTCTGCTCAAACTTGCCAAAAGAAAAGCAGCAGTTTTAAGCGTACCACTCTGAGACTGAGCAATCATATTTTGTGGAGGATCTGCAATAAGAGTAGGAAGAGCAGTCTCTTGTATTTTTGAGGGTGAATTAAATCCCATACCACACACACCTTTAAGAAGTTCAGGTCGCAGATTCAATTCTTCAAAAGATTTCACAGAATAAAGAGATGAATTAGGATTTCTCTGGATATCTATATCATGAGAAACTTCAATTAAATGAGATCTTACAAGTTTTTTCATCACAGATATCTCAGCAGGATTTAATTCAGGTTCATCATCTTTTTCATCATCGTCTTTTGATGCTTCATCAGGAATCTTTGGAGGAGGTATTGGAGGTGGCACAGGTGGTGGAATAGGATCGTCCAAATTTAAATTGTCAACTAATTTCGAAATTCCTTTCTCTTGTATATCAGAAGAAAGACCCCAATCATCAACATCTGCCATGATAAAGCCTATCGAAAATGTAAATGTCAAAATATAGATTTCTGTAAATTCTAACATATGCAAAGACAAAGACATACTTAGAAAAACTGAAATCATAACAAATATAATGCATGTGTCCCAAATAATTAAAATGTATGAAGATCATAAAAAGCAGTTATTTTACTTATGTCATATTCATTACTTTAAAGTGATAACTCTATTGCTGCAAAAAAAAAAAAAAAAAAAAAAAAAAAAACCTGATTATTATGCCTTTCATTAAATGGTATTCAATTCTATGTCCAAAAAACTCATGAATATACAAGTTACCTACTAACTAAATGTAGAAAATGGTTCCCAGTGGAGAAATAGTATCTATTTCAATTTGGAACCATCTTGTTTAGTTGACTTTGGTTTTTAAACAGGACAGACTAAATAATCATATTTTGTGAAGTTTTTACATCATGAATATGTTTGTATCAACAGAGCCAGGTTGAAGAAAGGCCAGCACCCCTGGGTAATCATGTAATATGTGATCTAATTACTTAGCTATTTATTTTTAGAGGGTGATCCTAAAATTTGCTGTCTTCTCACCTTTATTTTATTACATGCTCAAATTTAAAAAGAGTGTTTTAGTCTAAGAAATAAATAACTAACTAAAAGCAGTAGATTACATACTATATATGATTACTGGAACCTGTACATTCTCGCAAGTATACCTCCAACCTGGCTTTCTGTCCCAATTTTGAGAGGTGTGGTGGTACAAGAGACTCGCACCCTTCTCCCTCTATCACCAATCTCTTGAAAGGACTTCAGGTTTGCTGTATATTTTCAGTCATTTGCTGCAGACACTATATGCTTACATACATCCATGCTTTCTCCAGGATTTAAAGCCAGACCCATCAATATGTGTCACTAATCATTACAGTAACTGGACTCAGAGGTCGACAGGTTAAAACAAGGCAAATATTCAAGTAGGCATATTAGATATCACAAAGCCTAACTGCTGATGAAATGAAATTCCAAGAAGGTTGCTAACCCCTCTTCTCCTACCATTAAACTCTCAAAAAGGTGTCAGCTAGCTGCATATTTTGAGTGCCCCCTTGCCAACAAAACACTTACAAACACACATGCCTTCTCTGAGAATTGAACCTGGGCTCTCTGGGACAGCAGTCACCATCTCTAACCATTATCCCATCTTTATGTCAACAGCAGGACTATGAACCAGTCCTTAATTAAAAATTAGAGGAACAAATTAGTTATTTCACCAACAATTTTTTTTTATTTCTAAAGATGACAAAGATTATTGACAAAGATTATTATTATTATAATTGACAAAGAATATTTGCCATAGAGATGTATATAGCATGAAGAAGGAAAAATTAAATGTTAAATCACTATCAGAGCACACAATGCAATTTCTCAATATTTCACTGAATGCAACTTTTCAAGTAATCTTCACTTAAATTTTCCCAATAAGGCCTAGTGATCTTTTCTTTCTTCCTTCCATGAGGTTAACAAACATAAAACATACAGTTGAACTTCTCTCCCATCATCATAAAAAACTGCAGAGATAGAAACCTACTATTCAAACTAGCACTTTGTAAAGCACTTTTCTAGGTGAAGTTAGCATTGTGCTTCATGTTCATAGGTGGTTTTTAGGAAAAAAAAAAAAAAAAACTGGATAGTTAATTGCTCCCTTGGATTTCATGAGAGATCCAAATGGTGACCTTGAGAGAGCAGCAGGCACAATAAATCCCTAATGACCATGTCATAAATGAATACATCTTCCAGATTCTGTAAAACAGTTGTTCCAGAATTTAGCTTTGGTAGGGTAAGACTGAATTAATTTAATGACCAGTGACCTATACTGGTGACTCTTCTAAACATAAAAAGTCATAATTACTGTACGAAGTCCAAAATATAGATGTCGAAACCCCCAGCAAATTTTTCTTTTACAGAGGTTTAGAAATGGGAAATATAATACTCAAAGCATGTGTGCTGTTAAAATGATTTTCTCCCTATTAATTAAAAACTCCGCCAGGCGCATTTGATCTGCTAGGCACACATCGAGCACTTTTGTTTGCTCTGCCTCCTTCTCTCCAGCCAACTAGCTGCCCCTCTTCTAGTGCCACTTACAGTCATAAGGTCAATCAGTGAATATATTTCTTCATTTCCAGTTAACAGATGAAATCCCCCAATAGGCTCCCTGTAACCTATTACGTTGCTATTTGACAAGTAAGTTTTCTGTGACTTTTTAATACTATATCACATTTTTGTTAGCAATTTCATATAACAAAATATTTTATTATTATCTACAAAACTGAGTATGTTTTGGGGCTCTGGCTTTTTTCCATGCACATTGTACCTGATCATGTCATGAATTGTAAAATATTTTAATAATTTAAAATATTGCTTATTACAAAAGTTGATAAAAACATTTTCATAACAACATTATAAATATTTATTTGATTCAGGCTTCAAACTGTTAAATAAAAAAAGTCCGATTAGAGATACCCTCAAGACTTGATCAATGGCAATGACTTACTGCAAAGTGTGCAGTGTGAAATATTGTAAAAGCATCATAATTAATTGAACCAAGACATTTGGCTTAACTGAACGAACAAATAAACAAAAACAAAAAGAGTCAGAAGTAAAAAATAAAGTTGGCAGCCCAGAATATTTTTGCGAACGGAAGCCGGCAACGCAACAGCTTGATCCTGCCATACTCGTGACAATCTAACCTGAGAACACATATAAGGCAAGAATAACTTTTTCACTGCTTATGCTGTAAAAGGAAATGTAAAAGGAAACCATGAATGTTTCTTTGTATTGCTGCTAAAGTTTGCTCACCACGTCGTTTGATTCGATTTTGCATGTACCAACTTTCGGAGGTTGTTTGTTTCCCCAGAATGAAAAATCCACCATATTCTTTCAAATCATATTTCATGTGATTTATGCTTGTCACAGAAATGACAGTCAAATCAGCAGCAAAAGCAACAATTTCATTATTAGATTTAATAGGAAAAGGCCCCCGTAATTTGACAAAAACATTCATAAATATAATCGTAGAGGAACTGCATAGCGGTTTTCTAGCCTTATGATGTTTTGAAATTATACACAAATATCAAAGCCATAAAAATTGTCTTCTTCTCCTGCTCAGTGAATGAATGAATCCTGTAATTGATTTTCTCATCGAAAGAAGGGTGAGGTTGAGATTGCTGGAACTTGCAGTTTCACCAATATAATGCCAAAAAAAGCAATTTCTTCCTATTAGTGATCGAATGACTAATACTCTGCCAGCATCTTACAATGTGGCTTACAGTATAGTGAAATATAAGAAGCCTCATACCAATACAGAACTTATTCTGCTAGCTGCTGTAGATATGGTGAACATCATGGTTTGCAAGTCAACTGAGAAATGACTTTTACAAGTGCCTTTGTCCAAAAACACAATTGGTGGGAGAATTCAACATATGGCAGAGGATATCAATTAATTGAAAAAATTAAAGGACAAATAATTTCAACCAAAAGTATATATCTCTCAGTTACATACAGCAATTGTGCAGGAGAAGTAACTTAATCAAATGAATGTACAAACCTTCAAATCTGCTGTTAAAGATGCATATGCTTTTGAAAATAACTTTTTATAGTATTCAGAAACAGCTAATTTAGCCAGATATAATTTTATAGGCCTCACGAATACAGGCTTTAATTAGGCTGTAATCTCAATTCCGAGGTATGTCATGTATAACTTTAACCTGAGATGATAAAAGGCAAAGTACATTAGGATAATTTTCTATAAGACTTCTGTACTAAAGATTACACATAAAGAAGGATACTGATTACAGTCATCTTTGGTTTTAAAGCTTTTTATCAATAAAGAACAGTCCTCTTTTCTTTTTCCTTAAATTAATGTGATATTAAGAAGAAGTAGATTTTTTAATTTCCAAGCCAAGGTAATATACAGAAAAATTATGATGCAGAACACTGTCACAAAAAAAAAAAAAAAAAAAGATTTTCTAGTTCAAGTAACTAAGCTGTTGAAAGAGTAAAATAATAAATTTTCACAATCCCGAACTTTCATCTTTTGATATACAGACTGGTACATACATATTATTGCAGCCACCTTAGTCGAAATTGCCAAATTTTCAAATATGCCCAACTCTGACAACTACGTGCATAACATTCTTCAGATAATCATGCTTATAATAATCCTTTGGTTAAGCAATGTCACCATTTTTATATGCATTTTTTATTGTATTTTAAGTTCCAACAGCTTTTAGACAAGTTGTGATATTTTTTGCCTTTATCTCAATTTTAATATATCACTTGTGGAATTTGCCAACAGTGGAAGAACTGCAGCAACATTTTTAAATGAATAGAGACTTTTGCTGCAAAATGGCAAAGAGAACAATGATGAAATGCGTTTGGTATATAGCTGATGCGATTTTGTGCAATTTTTTGTTTTTAAAACAAAACAGATCATGAACAATATGTTTAATTTTTCAATACATCATATATTTTTTAATAAATAATTAAAATGTGTAGTTTAAAGTATGTTTTCTTTTGATGGGCTGATAATGTTTGCTGACTTATGATAAAAAGCAATAATTTGGCAACCTTTCTTTAACAAAAAGTCATGAACGGTTGGTGATTTGGTCACACATGGTCCAACAAAACCTTTTATTTTTTCATCTGTAAAAAATCACATTGCACAAAGGTGGTTCCGCTAATATGCAAAATGTTAAAAATGGTAGTCACACAGTTCATAAAATTTGTGCTGTATGTAAACAAAATACTGTTTTTGATGGCATAATTCAAATGTGGTTTGAGAAGTTTAGGCTAGAAATTTCAGCCTCGAAGATTATGCCCACACTGGATGGCCATCCTCCATAAACAAGGTTCTATTAAAAGTTATCATTGAAAATCCACATTAAACAGAGCAAGAAGTATCAGGCAAACTAAATATTTCAAATGCACTGTATGTCATTAGAAGGGGTTATGGGTTATTCAATTATAGCAAACCACACGAGGGCTATCTGCCTAAAGGGAGGGATGCCTTCGTGGAGGACTTTCTAAGGGAAACTGGCTCGTATACACGTTACACATGGGGAAAACCACGAAAACGCCCATGCAGCCAGCCCGTTCGCGGGA